TTAGGCCTTCGTTTCCAACGTCGGTAGCTTCAGCGCCGGCGTCGACAATCGTTTTGATTTACGAGTTTTCTCCTCGTTATTAGTAGATCTATTTGGATGAATTGGAATGGGTTCTACTAGGGTTTGGCTGGGTTTTGCAGGGGTGAAGAGAGGTGGTTCTATCTTTCTGATATCAGGTGGGTGGTCGCGATTTACTCCGGCTGATCGATGGCGCGCCGGATGGTCGTTGGTGGCGGCTCCTCAGACCCGAGATCTCGATGAAGGAAGTTGGGGGCTTGTTATGGGCTCGGATTTTTGTGGATTGGGCTTGCGTTTTGGGCCTTTTTGGGCTTGTGATGGGGCTTCAGCTAAGACCCGTGGTTTTGGTCAGCTATGTTCTTGGTCGAGTTTTTGTTCTGCTTCTTCTGGCTAGGCCTTAGTAGTCTTAGTTCCGTCTATTAGAAGGTGCATTAGAAGGTGTATTAGTGGTGTGGGTGATCCTTAGCCGTATCGATGGTCATAAATCATATGGTTATGCAGTTTGTTGTTTGGGTGTCGACTGATTATAGCTATGAGGATTGGTGTAGGTGGACTTTAAGTTTGAGCTTCTCTGGAGTTAGGGCTAACGTGGGTCTCGGCCTCGGTTACCTAGTGATACCTCGAAGTTTCTAAGGTCTTCTCAGCACTGACTTGATATGTCCTCTTTGCCATGGACTTGTATTGTTGAGGTCGAATAAAGCTTGGGATGGTGTGGTCATGATGAAGAGGTTTTAGGGGCAGGTCTTCCCAGATCAACGGCTAAGAATCCTCGCTCTCCGTCTTTCTGAATAATTCTTCTCGCGGTGGTGCATATCAACAGATTTCCTTCACTGATATTGGGTTTAGTACTATCGAAGAAGCTTCAGAGTGGTTTGGATCATTTCCATGTTGTGATGGCTCTTCTTGCTTTCGGGTTTTTCAATGTTATCGCCAAGCTTTTGTTCTTGTCTTGGAATTAAGTCATGGGTTGTTTGATCAGTCGTTTGATAAGTGGTTTGACTTGTGGTTTCGAGTAGTTGACTTTCCCGTTTCGGTTATAGTTTGTATTTGAAAAAAAATACATCGTTGTCCCCACTTGACATCTCTTGAGCCATTTTTTTTACAGATTTTTCACGATCTAAAGGTAAATGATACCGATTTAAAGCTTCGATTATCAAGTTTTCAACGATTCTTTTGCCGATTTGATCTTGGAATAGGCCGATTAGTGGGAAAACGATTTTCATACCCGAATTGGTTAAAATTCTCCTCCGATGAGCGATTAAACGGCATCGTTTAGATACATGAACTGATACATACGGATATTAATCTATTGTCTTTTATATTTGTTTCTTTTGTTGGATAGTGATGATGTTTCAGGAACTAATTATGCAAGTAATTATATTAACTTAAAAATAATGGAGGAGATAGAAGATGGGTTTAGAAAGATGATCATTAAGTTCAAAGTATGTAAAGTGCTCACATATTAACTGAAAGATGATAATGATGGTTTGTTGATATTATACTTAAAATTGATTTGGCTGAGCATGTTTCTATAAAAAATCAGTAATACTTTTTCTTATACTTAAAATTTTTTTTTTTGGTTTCTGAATAGAGAAACTTATTGGGGGAGGTATTGGAGGAGTGATGGTAGGAGAATTGATTTTAAAGTATTGTAGAGAAATTAATAAATTTCGATCAAAATCTGAACAAAAATGGTCGGAATTGTTTTTTCACATTTTTGTCTTAAAATTCTATTAAATTCATTTAAAATTTTAAAGAATAAAAGTTGCAGAAAAATTGAATAACACATGAATTTAAAAGAATTAAGATTCTAATCAATTGAATAACACATTAATTTAATAGAATTAAGATTCTAATCCATTGAATAACACTAGAATTCTCCAGATTGTCTAATTCCTCCAAAATCAATTAAATTCTTTAATCCAATACCTCATTATTTGGCTGCATTTGATCCGGTTTTTGTTTGAATTTGGTTTTCGTTTCAATTTGGTTACTTAGACACGCTAAATCTATTATATTAAGAAATTATAACTTAAACTCGAATTCAGTTCAACACACGCTAAATTTAATAATACAACCAACAAGATACAATAACCAACAAAAAGAAATTAAATCAGTAAGAACAAGCTAAAACCCAAATATAGAATAAAAAGATCAACTGTCATATCAACCGCTATAGACGTAATTTGTTGTGGTCCTCCAAAATAAACGGTTGAACTGTTGAATCTCTTGGCCCGGTAATAGTCTGGGTGTGTCAATATTACCATGAGGTCGTCGAGCGGCTGGAAGTTGTTTTCAGACAATGCGACTTTCAAATTTCTCATATATGCAACTTTCCCGACACCGCTGTCGGGAAAGCAACCCGAACCCATTTGAGTCGTGGTGTGTCGACCGAACGGGTTTGTGTTCACGATCTCACCGCCCCACTCCACTTCTATCGCATAATCAATCTGTAGGGTAAAAAGGGAAGCCGGCCAATATCCGACCGGCTCAAATATGTCGCCAAAGACTACGGCAAGCCACCAACTTCTGAGTCTTTGATCCTAAAATTATGTTAATTTATTGGTTAAAAGAAATCAACTTTTTGTTTTTGGGAGAACTAATAAATTACACCAAATTTTATAGATAAATTAAACGAATATATCAAAATTTATTTAATTAAGAAGCTACTTTATAAAAGTAAAATGTCGATAAAATCCATCAACATATTACGAGAAGTTTGTTACTAATCATTTTACACTCAAAGCAATAACTTTACCAAAAAACTATGCGAATATATCAATAATCAATGTAACAACCTTACGAATATAATTTCGCAGTATGACTATGCGAATATATCAATAATCAATGTAGTAAATGTACGAATATAAATGCGAGAAAACTTTTTTAGCAAAAAAAAAAAACTATGGCGAGAAAACTTTACAAAACAACGGTATACTATCAGGATCAAGCTGCCAAAAAAAACCTCTGAATAATTATGCCTAATAACTTTACCAAACAACTAAACATATTCAATAAATGTTATAAGTATAACTGTGCAATACTAATTGGTTTTGGTTATTACGATTCACTCTGCATTAAAGACTAAAGCGGTGGTTGAGCTGTATTTACTCATAACCAATTTCTCAGCTTGATCCCAACTATTTGGTTTTGGTTCTGATGTAGTTCAGTTTATTTCTGATTTGGTTCAGGTTTGGTTCATTTCACTGGTTTTAGTTTAACTGTTTAATTTTGGCTTCTAAATCACTGGACTCTATATTGAGCTTTGTAAAACATTTTAGATCTTCTTTTTGTAATTTGAACTTTATTATCCTTAATGTTTTACTTTTTTTTGTCGGTATTATCCTTAATGTTTTACATTTAATGGGTTTTAGTTTAATTGTTTCATTTGGGCTTCCATATATGTTTATTTAAAATAATAATATAAATTAGGGATAATAAAGTCAAAAATAGTGTATGGCGTATATTTTTTACTTAATATTCGTTGAGGATCTTTTTCATAATTCTCTATTTATTTAATAAAACGAAAATAAATAAAAAATATTTTTACCTTCCACATACGGATAGTTATTTCGAATTGTATGCCTCCAAAAATCGACGTTTGATCGATGGCCCCTTCAATCGCAACTCTTTTGCTGGTTTGAACGAAACCGGGGGCACGAAGATTATAACCCCCGGTCAGGTAGTAGGCATCCGTCTATGACCCCGTAACCAAATATATATATATGTTAAATTTTATTAACAAATTGAATTTTCTAAAAGTAGAATAAAACAAATTTACAAACTTACCGTCCAATATATGAAAAACCGGGGATGGTAGTCTCCATATAAATACGGATAAAGCTATATAATGATCAAAAGTTATTAGT